CGCCTTCCCGCCCCCCCCCGGCCCCCCCCCCCCCCCCCCCGGGGGCCGCCGTGCTGCCAGGCCTCATGTGGGCTGCCTGTGGGGAGCCCCGGCGCTCTGGCGATGGGGACGGATCCAGCCTGGACCCCACTGTAAGCGGTGACACAAGGTCCGAGTGTGCTCCCAGCCTGTGCTGGTGCGTCCCCCCCGGCCGGCCGGGCAGGGGTCCCAGGCGGCTCCTGCCCTGCGGACAGTCAGCAGTTGGTCTGGTGTGAGCAGCGATTCTCAGATCACCTCTTGGCTGTGGGTGGCGCAGGGAGCACCCCACCGTGGCACGGCCCCGCGCTGCCGGCGGGGGGACGCAGCTGCCCCCCCCAAGCTGGGGCGCACATCCCCACTCCTGCCCCGGGGCTGTGGGTTCGCAATGGCTGCGGGCTGCAGCCCCGGGGGGTTCAGAGCTGCCTGTGGAGCCCCAAAACGAGTTGCTGAGTTCCCGGCAGAGCCGTGCTGCCAGGATCTGCCCTCGCCCTGGCCCCCTCCGTGCACACAAGCCCCGGAGGAACCGGTTTGGGCCCTGTGGGCAGAGTGGCCTCCCCCCCCACACACCCGGCCTCGTGGGGAGGCCACAAAGGGAAGGACAGGGAGGGAGGTCCCCAGCTCTGTGGGGACACGTGTTCCATGCTGCTGCTGCTGCGGGGGGGTTCGGTGCTTCCTGGATACCAAGGAGGCCGGGTGGCATGGGGGCTGGAGTGTGGCAGGCCCTTGCCCCTGTCCCCAGATCAGACAGCCCTGGAGGGGAGCAATAGCCCCCGCTGCCTGCGCTTGTTCAGGGAGTCAGGTGGCAGCATGGACCCTCCGCTCTTTCAAATCTGTGCTTGAGATGCCACCGCCATGGAGGAGCTCGGCTCTGCAGATGTAATCAAGACCATGATGGCGTAATCTAGTCCTTTTCACCTCCTTCCTCCTGGGGCTGATGAGCTGGACACTTTGCTAATGTGCTGGGCGGGAGGGCAGCTCGTCACACCCATCCTTCACGCTGGGGCCAGCGGAGAAGCCAGAGCTGGGGCAATGAGCAGGCTCGGAGGAGGGCACGGCAGGGCACGCACCCAGAGCTGCTCATTGCCCTTCGCTGCGCAGAGCCCAGCTGCGGTGGCAAACCGCACCTTGCAAGAGCTGATGATGCTCCTCACCCATCTTGTCACACCCCCTGTCAAGCCCTGGGGGCCTTGTGGGCGGCGAGGCTGAACTGGCAAGCTTGGGTCTGCCAGTCACCCTGTGCCTGCAGCCTTACGCCCTCCAGTCCATCCAAAACCACCTGCCCGCCACTGCCCAGGGATGCCAAACCCGATCCCAGGACCCCTCGCTCCCCAGCAGCCCGGGGACAGCCTGGGCCTTCCAGCTGTGCTGTGCCATGCCAGCGGCTTGGCCACACTTACTGCCCTGGGCAGCCCGTTTCCCGCACAGTGGTGGCGGCCGCCCAGGCCCGTCTAACCCCGGCACAGCCTCTGGCCCTCCCGCTTCCACTCGGTTGCCGGTGGTTTCGGTTCTGGGCCCCACCAGCGCTTGGGGACAGGCAGGAGCAGCCCTGAGGGGGCTGAGGAGCGGTGCCCCCTCCTCTCCAGGCTGGAGCAGCCTCGGTCCCCAGCCCAGGAGTGCGGGGGGAGCCCCAGCAGCCTGCGCTCGGCCCTGCCAGCAATCGCCCCCACGGCCTCCACTCAGGGTGCCATCGCTGGGCCCTGCCGCTGCCAGGCCACGCTGAGGTGAGGCTGTGCCGGGGC